TTTCAGGTTTTTGAAAACTTAAAGTTATGCTTCACCAGAAAACTTAAAAGAAGTTTCAAATTGTTAGTGTGACATTCAAGTCAGAGAAGATCCCTATAATTTACTTATCTTTTGATGAACAATTTGACAGTTGACTAAATTCTGATTAATAAAACAGGAGAGATTAGGAATAATTAAAGCTTATTTTGAAAATAATTTTTATACATCAGAAACTTCATATTCATACCAGGATTGGTTGTCAAATATATTCACTATTGGTCAATAGAAAAAAAACAATTTTAGAAGGTGTGGTAATTAGAGGCAATGATTACCTTAGAGGTAATGATGATTGTCTTCTGCGTCCTAAAATTTTAGATTTGTAGGCACCAAATTCATTCATTCTGCAAATTAATTCTTAAATACTAACCATGTGCTAGGTACTTTGATGTTGGAGATAAAGTAGTTAGCAAGCCAGATGCAGTCTGTACCCTTGACAAGCTTATAGACAAGGGAAGTCTTTTGTGGGAAAATAGAATTTAAGTGCTCACATGCGTGCTGAACATTTATAAAAAGGGAAGTACACGGATCTTTGGGAACATACACAGTAGGGTATTTAGCGAGTGTAGAGATTCATGAAAAGCCTCCCTGAGAAAAAGATCTTTAAGGTAGGCTTGAAGAATTAATAGGTGTTAGCTAGGTAGCAAATAAAGATAGTAGTGTGGTGGGTATATGTGGTAGCCTGAGAGAGCAGCTTGTTTGAGGAACTAAAAGACTACAGATATACCATTTCATTTTACAAACAAGAAATTGAGGCAAAGAGAGGTTGAGTGACTTGCCTGTAGTCTTAGAGCTCCTATTCTGATGTATTCTATCCTCTTGGTCTATTGTTCATCTATTCATTCATTTGTTCAATCATCCATCCATCTGATTAGCAAGTGTCCACAGATACTGGACTGTGTTCTCAGAAAAACTTACAGCAAGACATTTTAATCATTAGGCATACCTTTGGGCATTTATAATTCTGTCACGTGACCTTTTGTATTCTATATTAGTACTAAAACTGCCCCACTGTGAAGTAAATACATGATATTGAGTATATTGATAATGTGCTGATGTACAGGCTGCTCTGTCTACTCCGCATACCCTTCACTTTATTCATTCACTAGAGTACTATTTCATTGATTGTTTAGGCAGAATCTGTAGTGTTCAAATTAATATGGAAAGTTTAAATTCTTTAAATTTCCCTTGCTTGGCCCAGCCTATTTCTTATCAACCAGTGAGCATTTGCTAGTACTTTGAGGCCCACCAGTGTTATATATCCATGAAGTTCTTCTTTGTTCAATGGTAAGACAGTTCAGTTTTTCCATAAGCAGTAACTGAGTACCTACAATGTGCCAGGTGCTATATAAGATACTGAACATACACTGGTAAACAAGATAGTACCTGTTTACAAAAGTTAACAGTGCAGTATGGGAAATACTGTGTACTATGGAGGTACAACATATAGCACCTGACCTTGTGGGGAGATATCTACCCCTCTGCTATCTTTAGGATGTAGTGCTTCTGGCACAGGAATTATACAGATGCTTCTGAATAAGAAGGACCTCTATCGAGAAGTGATTTGTTTGGCTGTGAGATTAGAGTGCAATGGTGAGATAAGGTTGGGGAGGTAAATGAGGTAAATGGTAACAGATCATGAAGGGCTTTCTAATCAAGCTAAGGAGTTTGCACTTTATCCTAATGGCAATGGGAAGCTATTGGATGTTGTTAAGAACAGAGTGACATGGCTAGTTTTTGCTTTGAAAATACCATTCTGGCTGGAGTGTGGACATGTCAGTGTAACTATATACCAATCTCTTGTTGTTATGAAGGTTTTCTACCCAAATATTGGTCAGAAACTATTTTTATAAACCAGTTATCTTCCACCTCTTCAGACTTGGTGTCCACTTTTAAAAAATATCATATTTTATAACACCCTTGACTTTTCATGAAATGACTTTTTGATAATACGAGGGTACTTCAAAAAGTTTGTGGAAAAATAGAATTGAAAGATAATATGGGGCCGGCCCGTGGCTCACTTGGGAGAGTGCGGTGCTGATAACACCAAGGCCCGGGTTCGGATCCCATATAGGGATGGCCGGTTCGCTCACTGGCTGAGCGTGGTGCTGACAACACCAAGTCAAGGGTTAAGATCCCCTTACCGGTCATCTTTTTTAAAAAAAAAAAGAAAGATAATATGAATCTCTCCATGAAGTACCCTCATAAAATCTTTCTACACACATAATTTGGAAAAAATATATAAAGGAGAAATAAAAGGAAAGTAATTATAAAAATACCTTCTCCATGTAAATGCTTGGATACTGCTACTCTACAACCTTGCTATTCAAGGTGTGGCTTCTGGGCCAGTAGCATTAATATCACTTGGGAGCTTAATAGGCAAACTCTTAGGCCCTGCCTCAGACCTACTAGATCTGAATCTGCATTTGTAACTAGATCCTCACATGATTTGCATGCATTTACAAGTTATTGAAGTACTGGTTTTTTTTTTTGTTTGTTTGTTTGTTTTTGTCTTTTTCCGTGTCCGGCAACGGATCGCAATCCTCAGTGTTGCTCCCGCACCGGACCGGGGACCGGCAACGGGACCGCAACCCTCGGCGTTGCGCCCGCACCTCGCTCAGCCCGGGAGCGGGAACCGGACTGTATGTGGGATCCGAACCCTCAGGCGGGAGCGCTGCCACGCTTCCCAAGCGGCGCACTTATCCAGTGCGCCACCGGGCCGGCCCTGAAGTACTGTTTTACACAGCATAATAAAATAGTAAGATGCTTGCATCTATTTTTAGAACCACTTGTATGTGACAGTTACAAATACAGATTGTTACAGGTGTGTGTACTGGCAACTAGGTACTGTGAAATGCCAATGATGTGACTTTTCTGAAACATCTCTTAGTAAAAATGATGTGTAGTCATCCCTTAGTTACGTATAATGTGCTTTCCTGCAAATTCAGCGTATGTCAAAACTGGGAAAATACTTTGTTTTATATAATGTGGTGCTTGTTTCTAGGTTCACTTAATTACAGACTTTTCAGCTGTCTTGTAGGATATTCAAAAGTCGTGCAGGATGATTGTTTGTTGCATAGAGCTAGCCTAAGCCTTGTGAGGCCTCCCTGGCTCCCATCCACAGCATGCCAGTAGTGTCTCCCAGTCATTTAACAGTCTCCTCCAATAAGAGCTTTCACAGATTTCCAGAATTCCCGCTTGAATGCTTTCCTCATTGAGAACTACTGCCGTAAACTCTCACATGATACGAGACACTGATACATGACAACTTGTGACCAGCCTGAACTCTTTGGAGCAGATATTTTAGCTGTGAGGCCATTTGCTGTGTTGGCTAAGGCAAACATAACAACCCTATACTTACAAGCACCCAAAATAACACATGGTGAGATTAACATGGATGAGTTCAGAGAAAATTAGGTTAAGTAAAATAAGCCATGCATGAAAAGAGAAATATCACATATCCTTATTCATATGTGTGAACTAAAAAAGTTGATCTCATAGAAGTAGGGTAGAATAGTGGTTACTAGAGACTGTTCTGTAGCGGGAGGGGAGGTTAGGGAGAGGGTGGTCAGTGGATAAAAAATGGCAGCTAGATAGGAAGAATAAGTTCTAGTGTTTTATAGCAATGTAAGGAGACTACAGTTAACAGCAATTTATTGATTGTTCCCAACACAAAGAAATGACAAATGTTTGAGGTGATAGATACACTAATTACTCTGATTTGATCGTTGCAAATTGTACACATGTACCTAAATATCAGTGTACCCATAAATATATACAATTATTATATGTCAACTAAGAAAAAATTAATAAAGTGGAAAAAAAACAAAAACAATTACTTTATATTAATTAAGTTGAAGACTGTTAAGAATGACACCAATCGCAGACTGTTCCATGAAACTCTGATTCTATTAAGGCAGAACATATTAGCTAAATCAGAAGTGTGAGAATATTAGCAAATATGTGTGGAAAGAGGAATACTTTGCACACACTTGAACAGGTGCGTGCATAAGGCTTTCAGTGAGAAAGAGCTTACTATTTGGAGTGATTATAGGAACAGTAGGTCTATAGGTACATGCTAGGAAAACAAAAAAACTTAATTTTGAGATCATTGGAAATCATGGGAGAGGTTTTTATATCGAGTTACATATTGGTCAAATTAGCCAAGGTTAAGTAAATTTGTAAGAAAAGTTATAAGAATGCATATAGTTATCACAAAGCAAAGGAGGTGAGATAAGTAAGAGGGGAAATAACCATCAAGAAGTAATCAGGTAATAGAAGAAGAAATGTATAAATTTGTTTCCCAAGTGTTATTTACCAGGAAAAGAGAAAAAAAGAAAAACCCATGAGACAGTTGAGAAATGGTATAATTGGTTGACAGAGATAAATTGTGAAGCATAGAAGGTTGAGGGAGCACTGTGTTATCATATTTGGAATTTGTGCCTTATAAACAATGTTTAACTATAATATATCAAATATAATTATATACAATAGATTTATGAGTAAGGACTGCCTGTTCTTATGTCGTTTGGTTCCTGTCTCTGTCTTTAATATATAATTTTGGTCATTGTTTTGAGAATTATTTTCTTATAAGGATCATCTGTCAATGACAATGTACAGATCAGTGACAATGAAATAGATCAATCTTTGATCTATTTTGTGTTTAAGAATACTGTAAAGGCGAAATCTCATAGGTTATTGATGCAGATATTAGAACATAGTAGGTAATACCATACTTAGTCTTAATTTCCATATAGTGGGTCAAAAAAGAATACCTGTTAGACTCTCTAGACTTCCTATAGGTTAGGTACACAAATTGCAATTAGGAAGTAGTCACATTAATTAGAAAACTGTAAAAATTACTATTTTCTTGTTACTGAAGAGGGATGGTGAATGTCCCCATTATAAGGATACAGTTGATGAAAATGGGGACAGTTTATACCTTATTTCTTCTTCTTTTATAGGTTTTAAAACGACCAGAATATTTTGGAAAATTTGGTAAAATACATAAAGTTGTCATCAATAATAGCACATCATATGCAGGCTCACAGGTAACTGATTATAGGGATTTTTGCCTTTCCACTACATGGTCTGGGCTTGACCTGGGCTGTTCAGAAGGAAAATTTTTGTTTGTTGTGATTAAAAAGCTTGAGAGTGAAGGACTTAGGAGTGTAGTGACCTCTGTTGGTGGGGTGGGGGAATTTCTGGTGCTCTTTTGACACAGTGAATTGATAGTGATTAGGAGGAGATGGTAAAACAAAGATTTAGTCACGGGGTGAAGGGGAGGGGGAATTGAGATTATTATCAGGCAGTCTGATAATTAGATAATGATTTCTAATCAGTAATATTTTCCGATGCTGAAAACTTAATAGAGCATCTTTGTTATGCTGGTATTAGCAGATAGAATACTCTTGGAGATTGCATTTATTTTTGAGAGTATGTAATTTGATGTAGTGTCTTTAAATCTAAATTTCTAATTTTTTCGTAGCCTTGAGGAGCCTGTCAAATGACTTTAAAAAAAAATAAATGCCAAGCCAAAGATAATATTTTGTTCATACATATGATAGTCTACTTAAAATCAGATAAAATTCGTTGAGTATGGTTGCTTTCAAATGAACTAGTAAGATATTTAATCAAAACTACTACTAATAATAATAATTGTAATTATTGTTAACAATAGTAGTAGTAAAGGCCTTTAAAATTTCCTAGGCAGTTTGTAAGAGACTTTTATTTATTTATTTATTTTTGTATTGTTTGATTTGAAACTCATAACAGTTGAATGGTATGTTTTCACTTTAGGGTCCAAGTGCCAGTGCTTATGTCACCTATATCCGGTCAGAAGATGCTCTCAGAGCCATACAGTGTGTCAACAATGTGGTGGTAGATGGCAGAACACTTAAGGTAAGATGGTCCTCTTGTTTTTTTTTAAGGGGGAGGGGATAAGATGCAGTAAGTAGAGGAGAGCCTGAATCTGGCATTTACGTATTAAATTTGAAGACTGTTAATTTGAAGATTGATTCTTAGGTATTCATACCAACTTATAATAGCTAATTTGTTTACTGCTGACTTATGTAGGCTTCTGTTTTACGTAGGAATAAATTCATTATTAAGGGATAATATTTAAAGACTTCCTATCTTTACGAGTTTCTTATTTTGTGAAAATGGAGCCATTATTCTCATTAAAAAGAGGTACTGGTTCTGCTTTGTTGTCCTTAAATATATGGACATTTATTTGGATTTGAGTGAAGGGTCCCACCAAGCAATGCTTTATGTAAATAGAAGGATGGCATAATTAGAGAAAGGAATTTCCTTTTTTATGTGCTTAACCACTTGTAATATGGAACAGATTTTTGTTGGGGTGTTCAAGTTCTGGAAATTATAGACTGAGGTGTTTTATTTAGTTCTTCCACATGAGCCTCATCTGTAATAAACTCTACTAGTAATAGTTCAGCTCTTTAGTATTTGTAGCCATACTTCTTGTTTTGTCGTGTCTCTTTCTCATTTTAGGTGAAGTGAAAACACTGAACATGGAAATTCACATTGTGGTGGCAGTTCACATTTTGAGTCCTCTTTTCTCTCTACCCTGTTCTTCCTGCAGGCATCTCTAGGTACAACAAAATACTGCAGTTACTTCTTAAAGAATATGCAGTGTCCAAAACCCGACTGCATGTATCTACATGAATTGGGGGATGAGGCAGCCAGCTTCACAAAAGAAGAAATGCAGGTAGCAGTCATGTGAATTATTAACTTTGCAGAAAAGGGAGTACTTTATAAGTTAAAATTGCAAAAGTGAAAACTAGGAATTTGATTTTTTAGAAACTGGTATTACTTTAAAATAGCATTTTCCGAACAAAGTGTTCCATGGAAGTGACATTCTACAGGATATTGTTAGAATAAAAATGGGTGCATGGTCAACTAAGTTTGAAAATGCTAGATTAATGAAGAGAAACAGGTTTCTTTGCTGCAGGACTTCTCAGAGTCTTTAATATGCTTTAAATATCCAAGAGAGGAGTGTACAATCAATATAACTGGATCTTGATTGATCAAGGAACACTTTGGGAAATGCTACTTTAAGAGGAAATGTCAGCAAAGTGAAAGCTAAGTGTGTACTGTAATTATTAGTTGGTGTTTTGTTTTATTTGTTTTTTGGACTAATCTCTACTCTTTACAGAGCATGCTAGAAAATAATATTCTATCAAATGCTGGTAAGTTAACATTTTTATGAAATGATTCTCCCCATCAAAACTTCCACTGAGACATTATCCTGTAAAGGGTGAATTGAAAGCTTAATACTCGAGTTCTTTTTTATATTTCCTCCTGTCTCCTTTTAATTTGTAGTATAAACATGCCTTTCAAGTAAATATGTTGACCATACAGCAAATTAAATGAGGATTATACCAAAGCATAATGCTGCACTTCCCTATTATAGATGAGGACTTCAGATTGTTACTGTAGATTTTTGCAGGAATACTTCTCATTTAGAAGGTGGGGTGCATTCATTGCTACTTTTCATTCTCCAGGTCAAACTAGAGAAAATCTGGTAGGGGCTCGTTTAAGAACAGATCATTAAATGAAGTATTACCTTTTTTGACTTGGAGGCAGTACAGATTAAATCCCATTATAATAAATACATTGGAGTTTGTATGGTCTTTATGATTCAAAAACAGTGTTAAAATAAGTTCTGTTTTATATTTATTAGGGATGAATGATTTACTGGTTTCTTATTCAATAAATGTGGGGTTTTTTTGTTTTTGTTTTTTTGGATGAAACTTTTTTGAATGGAATCAAATTGAATTTTATTTTATTTTATTTATTTATTTATTTATTTTGTTTTTTTGGATGAAACTTTTTTGAATGGAATCAAATTGAATTTTATTTTATTTTATTTTATTTATTTATTTATTTTTTCCTTTTTATCTTTTTTCGTGTCCGGCAACAGATCGCAACCCTCAGTGTCGCGCCCGTACCGGACCGGGACCGGCAACGGGATCGCAACCCTCGGTGCTGCGCCCGCACCTCGCTCAGCCAGTGAGCGGGAACCAGTCTGTATGTGGGATCCGAACCCTCGGCAGGAGCGCCGCCGCGCTCCCAAGCGGCGCACTGTAGCAGTGCACCACCGGGCTGGCCTCCAATTGAATTTTAACTAGTGGAGGGTATACTTTACTCACATGTACCATTACAATGAAAATTTTTGTCTATCAAAGAATTTCCAAGCTCCACTTGATCTTGGTTGAAGTATTATATAGCAATAAAAGAAAATGTATGGACAGTCCTTTGGAACTTATTTGTAATGGGATTTAACCTGTCTTTATGAAATGCTCCTATAGAGTCATTTGAATATCAGGTTGAACTCTTTGTGGCTAATGAAAGCCATAACTCCTGAAGTACTGATTGCAGAAAGAATTTTCTTTTCATGTTTTAAAGATGAAAAATTCACATCTAACTGTTATATTTTTTTAATAGTTTAAAATGTATTTCCTAGTGTTGCACTAAATTCATCTTGCTCTTCTTTACCTACATTTTAAATTACTTTGAAAAGGGTTTTCTTTGTTAAAACACTTCCTCAATGTAGTAAAGAAATTCAAATAAATTATGTCATACCAAAAATCAGAAAATCTTTCCTTGTTACACTGCATAACTCAAAATTAGTACCATAGGAAACATTTGTAGGTACAATTGAAACAAGCAAGAGGCCTCTCAGAACAGGGAAGGATGCATTGTGCAATATACATGATACAATTGTGCTCAATTAAATGGTATTGCTCTCACTTGTTATTGTTTTGCTGTTTGTTTTGGTTTTGCTGTAACATCTATTTAGATAATTTAAAAATAATTAAAATCCCTGAAGATAAGTAAAAATGTCCTTCCAGTCATGATATGCATGTAAATAGTAAAAAGTTACTTGAAGTCATCTTTGTGTATGATTAGCTTTCACAGTCAATTTTTGCCTTATTTCTCCCATAATGTTTGTGACATCATCTTTTGATGTATAGCTGCCCAAGTACAGTAAATATAGCGTTCTTTTGTGTGTAGAGCAGGGATTGGCAAACTTTTTCTGTAAAGAGCCAGTTAGTAAATATTTTAGAGTTTCTGGGCCATGTGGTCTGTGTCACAACTACTCCACTCTGCCTCTTTTGCAGTACTTCACTCTGCCTTTATAATGGGAAAGCAGCTGTAGACAATACATAAAGAAATGAACATGATTGTGTTCCAGTAAAACTTTATTTGCACAAACAGGGAACTGGCTGTAAATTGCTGACCCTTGGTTTAGAGATTAACGTACATTAATTTTTATTTTGCTCTGGGTAACAGAGGAAAGGAGAGAGCAGAAACAAATTAATGGAATTCTTATTTAGTGTCAAGATAGTGAAGAATATAGAAAAACTGTTCATCTGTGTATTACTTATGGTGTTAATCTTTAAATGAAAAAGGAGGTTGATTGATCAGTTTTGGGTGATCTTCAGAAAACTCAGTGATGACTTGTTAGATGACTCAATTCTTATATGAAAGATTTTGAAATAAGTTTATAATGGACCTTCTAGTTTTTTGAGCTAGTGAACATGTTCTTTCCTTAATATGCTTTTCTATACAATAAAGAAGTTGACAAAACACTTTAATTTAATCTGTGGTATATATATCATATAATTGTGTTGGAATAACTTTCATTGGTCTAGATTTTTTGTAACATCATCCTCACAGATTTCTCTGACTCCATGAAAACATCTTATGTGTTTTAGTTAGGATGTCTTTAATAATTCAGAAGGTAATTAAGTATATTATACCAACCATTATGTGAATGCCACTGCAGTTTTAATTTCTTTTTTCTTTAGGCGGGTAAACACCAAGAATATGAACAGAAGCTGCTTCAAGAATTATATAAATTAAACCCCAATTTTCTTCAGCTATCTACGGGCTCCGTTGATAAGAATAAGAACAAAGTGACACCGCTGCAGAGGTATGATACGTAAGTACTTGATATTAATATAGTCAGACACCTTCATACCTGTCAGTCTTCTCTTTTCATTCTACATTTTTTTCAAGCAAAATCTTGACAAGGTCTATCATTTTTGCCAAATTACTTAGCTATATAGGAAGTGTTGAGTCACAATTTCTGGGTTTGAATGTTTGCTGCTGACTATTCCCTGGTAACACTTCAGACTAGCCTCTTGATGGCTTCATCTTTTCAGTAATTTGCAGACTACTCAGAGCCCAGGAACACCCTCCTTGTTAAAAAGGAAATTAGGGATGCTGGGTATTAAAAGGCTCTTATCTCCTAACTGAGGTTCCCCCCTGATATAATGAAGGGGAAATTACTGGAAAAGGGAGAGTGGGAATTATCTAAAACATTGCATGTTGGGGACACAAACATTAAAAGATTTCAAGTCCCCAGAATCACTAAAATCTTATATCCTGTGAGTAAGGACGATAGCCCATATTTGCAATCTTATTCATCTTAGGAGATGAGTTGTCTCCTGTCCATCACCCCCAACGTAGTTTTGGGTAGACTATATTGTGTCACTGTTTCAACAAATTTATAGTCTTCAGTACTGAGTCACATTCTGTTACAGTGATCTTCGTATCTTAGATTGTATTTGGTTATGGCCTACCAGAAAAATGTATAATTAATAAAAGTAGTAATTTTGGTATTGTACTGTATCCTTAGTGTTTCTTAAGTTTATGTGTTAGGATCTTTGTTCTACTTTATTTTATTTGATAAGTTTAGCTTTTATAAAATGAACCTTTAAAAGTAAATAGCTGTAATTAATTTGGGTATGCTTACTGTTTTTTTTTTTTTAAGTTCCAAAGTTAAGTTTATTTAGGTGATGTTTTAATGTCTGTTTAGCACTAAAATAATGTACAGCTATTTTTCTTTTTCTTTTTGGGGGGGCTGCTGACTGGTGTGGAATCTGAACCCTTGATCTTGGTGTTATAACTCTAACTATCTGAACTAACCGGCCACCCCTATCTTTCAAATGTAGCTAGTAATAACTACATGCATTATTGTCAGAGTCCATTTCTTCAGAAACATATTCTCCCTGTGTTTAAATTTTTCAAGTCCTTGTTTATTCTTTTATGATAAAGATTATTTAAATATTAAAGACTATTTAAATACTTATTTCTTATTTATATACACACATACATACACATACACGTATGTGTATATATGTGTATAAATATATATAAAATAGGCCACAAAGCAAGATATAAGATTACTTTACAGTGAACTATGTGAAATTTGTTTATATCAAAGCTAAGAGTAAAAGCTAAGTCCAAACAGATATTTCTGAGTTAGCAAGCTTTGACCCTTTTCTTTGATCTTCTGTATCTACCCTTTTCTAGTCCCGTGTGTTTATTTTATGATGAACCATTGTTTCATTGGTTGCCACCTCTGTAGTGCTTGGTATGAGTAAAGTTATCATAGTAAACATTTATTTCAGATACTTTTAGCATTTATATGCATTATTGTTCTCATTAAAAATGTTGTCATTCTAATTAAAGTCATATTTTGGGTTTATAGCCCTTCAAGATTTCAGAGCAGAAATTTAAAATTTAGATTACTTCTTTGAGAAAACATTTGTTATCTCCTGAATATAAAAGTAATATGTTTGAGGGCTGGTCAGTTAGATCAGTTGGTTAAAGCATGGTGTTTTAACACCAAAGATCAAGGGTCCAGATCCCTATACTGGCCAGCTGCCAAAAAAAAAAGAAAAAAGAAAAAAAGTAATATGTTTTTATTGAAGAAAATGAGAAATGAGAGCAGACAGAAGAAAATAAATTTGTATGTGATCTCAATACTCAAAGGTTTTCACTGAAAATGTCTTGTGTCTATTTCCTTGTGGTCTTTTTCTCTCCTATGAATGTATATATACCATTACACAGAAAATACCTTGGTTTGTTACATTTGAAAACTTAATACACATTACTATGAATATTTCCCCACGTCATGAAGACATAATTTTTTATGGCTGCATGATATATCATTATATAGTCATGTACTGCATAATGACATTTTGGTCAATAATGGACTGAGTACGGTGGTGGTCCTGTAAGATTATACCATATTTTTACTGTACCTTTTACTATTGTGTTACAGTTGCCTACAGTATTCAGTACAGTAACTCACTGTATAGGTTTGTAGCATAGAAGCCATAGGCTATATGCCATATAATCTTGGTATGTAGTAGGCTATACTGCTAGGTTTAAGTACAAACATATTTCAAAAAGTTCATAAAGATTCATATTATCTTTTAATTCTGTTTTCTCACAAACTTTTTCACGTACCCGCATATGGTCTACAATGTTCACACAACAATGAAATCGCCTAACTATGCATTTATGAGAATGTGTCCCTGTTGTAAGTGATCCATGACTGTATATGAATATTTCAAATTGATTAAGCCAGTCTCCTGCTATTGTATGTTATGTTATTTTCACTTTGGTGATAGTTTAACACCGTGATTAACCTCTTTTCATATAAACGTTTTGGTTATAGCTTTGATTCTATTTCCTTGAATTGGGTATTTTTTTCCTCCTGCATATTTACCAATTTGATAAACAAAAAAAGCTTTTTGATTTTAATTTGTATTTTATTGAGTGAACTTTTTATGCATTGTGAATTCAGTCTCTTTCTTGTGTTTTATTTGTGTATTTATTGTGTGTGTTTATGTGAGTTACAAAGAGCTGACTTTCCTCAATTAGTTCAGTTGTTTGTGTTTCAAAATACATTGAATTTATAAATAAATTTTGAAAGAACTTATATTCTACAACATTGAGTCCTCCCAACCATTAGCATGGTATATATCTCTATTTAAGTCATTTGTGCTTTTCAGGAAAGATTTTTTTTGTCTTTTTTCCTGTTTATTCATATCAAATCTCCCACCACCTCTTCCTATTTGAGAATCCCTAGGCTAAGAACACTAGTCTAGTGTTAGCCTAGTGATGCTAGCAGTCGTTCTTGTCTCATATTTTACTTTATGGGAATATCAATAGCTTTTTATTCACTCAGGTATGATTTTGATTATTTGAGATAAATATTTTTAATCACAATATAAAAATGCCTTTCTATGATCTTTTTCCCTTTAGATTGGAAATGAATACTGGAATTTATCAAAAGTCTTTTAGGAATTTTTCAGAAGTACTTAGCTTTTACTTATTTTTTTGTTATTTGTTATTAATAGATTTACGAATATTTTATTGACTTTGCCTTCATTATAAAGTATAATCAAGTAATCCACAGAGCACATTCATAGCTAATTAAGTAGCAGGAGAAGAATGCCCTAAGAGCCAGAAGTTGTAGAGGGGAAAAAAGGAAGAAAAAGAAATTTTAAGCAAATAAACTCATTTAATAACTTTGTCCAAAGCCAGTGCTACTGACTCTCATCTGAGACCAGAATAAATTTTGACATAGCTATCTGAGCTTTACATAAGTATATGACATAGGAAGGTTTTGGGGTGGGGGTGGGGGGAACATTTGTTTTTAATGCAGTTACCCAAAATTTATTGAGTGACAGTTGATGGCCCAAGTTACAGAGAGTTCTTTTTTTTTTTTGGCAAACTCCTATAGTTTTCCTTCTTTCCATACAAATCCTCCCTGCAAGAGAGTAAGCCTTTGGCTGACTCAGTCATACCGAAGGTCTGCTTTGGTCTCCACTTCCACATTTCCACCATTCAGGGTAAGTATAAAAAGTAGTAGGTGGTAGGGAAGTTTTCTTCTGCCTACAGGAAAAACTTGCCAAGTTAGAGTGAATAGCAGTGCTTTTTATGGTCCTACCCATGAGATAGATTTTTTTCTTCTTCAATTTACCTTGAAGAAGGTAAATTGAGAAACTTTGTAGGGAAAAGAGAAACTCAAAGAAAGGTCATATTCTCTCATTTTTGGCATTCCTAGATAATGAATAGCAGTTTTACAGGAAGAATCACAAGAAAGCAAAGCCTGGAACCTAACAGATGTAGAGACACTAAACTTAAAATTAATTTTTTTCTTATTTTTCATTAAGCCAGAATTCAAATCTTCAGAGTACCATAGCTACTAATCCTCATTGAACCGTGATACGATCCCCTGATACACATGCACAAGGGTACTTCAAAAGTTCTTTGAAAGATTCGCATTATCTTTCAATTCTATTTTTCCATGAACTTTTTTTTTTTTTTTAAAGATGACCGGTAAGGGAATCTTAACCTTTGACTTGGTGTTGTCAGCACCACACTCTCCCTACTGAGCTAACTGGCCATCCCTATCAGGGGTCCGAACCCGGGGCCTTGGTATTATCAGCACCACACTCTCCTGAGTGAGTCACGGGCTGGCCCTTCCATGAACTTTTTGAAGTACCCTGGGATGTTAGTGAAATTTTCTGTAATGTTTTGTTCATATTTCACTTAACAAGCAAAAAATTCTAAAAAGGTATTTGTCGTTTGCTTCCTCTTCTCATGAATTTGAGAGTATATCAGTGAGATTGAGTTTTGAGATCTAGAGGTGCTGGTTTTTGTTTGTTTGTTTTTATCATTGTTTTTTTGGCGGCTAGCTGGTATGGGGATCTGAACCCTTTACCTTGGTGTTATAACACCACACTCTAACCAGCTGAGCTAACCAGCTAGCGCACTGTTTTTATCTATTGCTTTGAAATGATGAGTACAAGTGGTGAGAGTGAGGAAGCCATGCAGTAGTGAATCTTAAGGACTGAATATTTTATTTTTTAGTTTGGGGCTTTGAAATACTTTCATTAAAATTGAGGCAGTACTTGTGCACCAACTAAAGACTGAAAGGAATAGGTAGGCAGCTGTGCCCAGGATAGTGAGCAGACCTAGTTATAAGAATTATGGGGTATGCAAGTCACTCAGCTTAAGTGTTTATGACTTGAGATTATGGCTCAGTCTAACATGCAACCATTGAGGAAATGGAGATGTTTAGCTTTAGACTTAGGCGGAAGGAGGGTTGAAAAAAGTTTGGTGCCTTCTGTGTTCATT